GAGTGGGACAGGGAGGGGGTGATGCTACTGTAGTCGAACGGTGGGACGGACGTGCAGTTCAGTTTTTGGGCACGCATATGGTGCTGCAGGGATTTTTAGGTGTACCTCTTCGGGCTCTTGGATACCTTTTTCTCGTTATATGTGTGCGTGTTCTTTAGATCCTCAGATGGCTCTAGCACTTTCGTGACCACGGGCTGAGAGTCTTTCTTTGCTAGATTTTGGCATTTAACAACTGACGACATACGGATTAATGTGAAGACAACAACAACATACCTTTGCCATCGCCATGTAGCATGTCCATCAATACATACCATCCGCGTATCCCCCGGAGGCCCCGTAGACAGTATACCCTGCCGAGCACCCCAAACAGCCCCCCTGCTCGGTACGAGATACGATCTACGAAATCCCCGTCACGACTATTATTGCCAGATAAAACGGCAGACAGAAAAATCAAAACCCCTATGCCAACAATAAATCATCCACATTCCAATCCAATCGACTCTGTGTTAAGGAGTGTGGCTGCTAGCATGAGTATGGTACATCTTATTGTTGACAGGATGCGGGTCGGTCAGGAGGTATACCCTTCTGACCCCTACCCCCTAGGAATTGTCTACTCTGTGTACCCCCTGAGATGAAGTTGGATCCCCACTTCATCCCAGACCTTTGCTGATCGTCTCTCAGCAATAACAAGCAACTTTCCCATCTCAACGTGGTCGTGGACAAGCGTGTCAACGACAGAACCTTCATCTATCTCTAGGAGCAAGCCACCGCCCACGGCATCACTCCTTGAAACTTGGCGTCAGCTGGCATTACACGGTAAGCGGGTGCTGGACGCGGCCTCCACACTGCTGTGTGTTGTTGCCACGCTATTTTCATAACCACCGGGTTGCTTGTTATTTGGTCTCACCACCCACAAGAATCTAGACTTAGCCTCTTCTCTGCTTCCTCTCCTGTAGAGATGCTGGCTTGTGATGCTTTTGCGAAGCGCCCGCGGGACTGGGACCTTGCAAAGGATACGCGCCTCGGAGGCCATCGCGATGTTTTGGGTGATTTCTCGTACGTTCGCCGTCCCTCGAAAGCTATTTTGTCTGCATCGGCGGTCCATGAAGTGATTTCTGTGGCGGATACCCTCTGCATGGAGCGTCCTGAGTTGCTGGCCTTGTGTAGTGGGACCCGAGATGACAGCATGCTTCCCACGTCTGCTACCACCTCTACTGCATTCATGCCGGCGTACCGGCCGATGTCCGCGGATTCTCCTGTTGTGCTCTCCGATTTTGACTCCGCTTGCATCGACTTGGAACGCGATGTGTGCAAACAAATTGGGTGTCAGCCGCCCCACCAGCCTTCCCTCCATTTTTCGAAATCACATGGCACTTTTTTTTGGGGAATCGTTCACCCTCAAAGCATTTGAATTGGAAACCTTTCAACAGCGCAAACCCACAGCGGTCTTTGCTCGCACTTCGGCACCAGTTGCGGAGGAACGCCGTGCTGCTCTGCGTGTCTTTTGGTCGGAAAACCTCGTGTCTCCATGCAACACGGGCCCTTTTGTGCTAGCTTCTACTGCTGTTTGTGCGTGGCATGGTGTGCTTTTGGACGCTTTTTCTGCTTAGTTGGATCCGCTTTAACCTCGGGTGCACCACGCTTTTATTACTGGGCGTATGCTATCTTGTGGATATCTCGGCGTTTCGCATGGACCTCGACTTGCTCTTCCCGAAGTTGCACCCGGCTTTATTGCTTCTGCTGCTCTTGGTGCTGCTGCCTCAACTGCGGTTGGTTATCCTACATCTACTGTTTCTGGCCCTGCTGCCCTTTCCAAAATCGATCGTAGATACCCTCTCTCTGGCCCTGTTCTTGTTAACAAAGAGGACACCATGTCCAGCGGCAAAGTAGAACTCATGGGCGACAATGTGGAAATCCTCGACTACGAACCCGAGGGCGAGGCTCCCACCGCAGAGCAGTTTCCAGCGGCGGGTGCAGAAGACGAGAGCCCCCCCATGCCCATAGGGTTCGCCTTCGATGAATTGCTGGACAACATCGCCACAGCAGATCCGATTGAACTGGAGCGAGCCTACAACACCGGACGTGTCTCTCTGGAGGATATGGTAGAAGCGGCCCATCTGTCGTCCGATTCCCCCCTTTTCGTTCCTCCTTTCTCGCTCCCGCCGGAAGACAGATTAATCCTCTTGCCCCACGACGAGTTTATGGCGTACCAAAGGTTGAACGAGATGTGGTGCGACGGTCTTGCCGGGAAGATAGCAGAGGCGGAGGCGCGAGAGCAGGCGAAGCGCGAGGACGCGGAGCGCTTGGCGGAACGGGAGGCTGCTCTGGCTGCTGCGGCGAGGAAGCAGGAGGAGGAGCGTGAGGCTGTTCGGGCTGCTGCGGCGAGGAAGCAGGAGGAGGAACGTGAGGCTGCTTTGGCTGCTGCGGCGAGGAAACAGGAGGAGGAGCGTGCGGCTGTTCTGGCGGAGCGTGAGGCGTATCTCCAAGCGGCTAGGGCGAAGCAGGGGGCGCTCCGATCGTGGCTGAAGGAGCTGGAGCCCCGCCACCAGGACCCGCGAGCAGCCCCCCACACCCGTCGCCGTGTTATCGTCCCCCCCCCCACGCAATCCCAGGTGCACCTTGGTTCCCATCGTACCGCCACGCCGCACGAGAAGGAGCGGGAGGTGGCGGCTCNCGGGCTGCTGCGGCGAGGAAGCAGGAGGAGGAACGTGAGGCTGCTTTGGCTGCTGCGGCGAGGAA